CGTTACCTACTTTTTTCTTTCTTATATATATATATATATATATATATATATTTAACCAATGAACTCGTTTCCTTTTCACTTACCTATTCGTTTTGTTCCATTTATGTGTGTGTATAAATATATGCATGCCAGGCAAGGATAGTGAAGGCGAAGGTGAAACAGGACGGAAAACTTCATTGACGTGATCTTTTGCGAATCGCACATGTAAGCGCAGTACCATCAATAAAAAAAAATAATAAACAATAATAAAGCATTTGGTTTTCATCCCGGCTCAACATTATGTTACTTCCTTACAACCGGTTCAATGGCCTCATTTAGCCAAAGATACCGTGTTGTTGTATTCTCAATATCCTCTGGTTCCACTTGCTCATTAACAGGAACACCCATAATCTTGTGAATGAGCTCTGCCTCCTCGTCACTGCGAAACTTACAGCTGAGACCAACACAAAGAAAGTCATGGAACCCTTTCATATTGAACTTTTCTGCTGCATTTATAGTCTGAAGATAGTGTCCAATGTTTAGCTCAGTTGTAAGGCGAGAAAAAAAAAAGCCAGCATCCCATTTATTCTTCAGAACATGAAGAACATTTCGGTAAATACATGGTCTTACAATTTCGCTTGCGGCAACACCATCCATACCATAGTGCTCGGTCCAGCAGATAAGGTTTTCAAGAACAGCTGCAGGGTAGTCAAATTCAGGAATTATGTCCTCAGAGACTTTTTCAATAAAGCTGCATTTATCAGCAACCTCCCTTGGTACTTCCACGTATTTCCCATCGCTGCAATGAACAATCGTGTGGACGGCGCGATCAACATTAGAAGTATTGTAAAGAATACGTACACAAGACGAAAACGAGGCCATTTTTTACCCTTATTTTTAAAATATATTTTTCCTTTGTTTATCAGCACGGAAAAAAAAACAGCAATAGAAAGATAACAACAAAAGTTATAAAAAAAACTCAATTATAATAAATAACAGTTTCGGCACAAATAACAGCACGGTGCAAACAAAGTAATACTAATAGTTATATATGTGCGTGTATACTTAAATCGGGACCATTCGTGACAGAGTACGCGCTGCGACGCACTGTTAAGTTCATTAAAAATTAAAAATCCGCGCTCGCGCACGCAGAGACATAATATTGAATCACAGCACTCCTTCCAAACAAGCAAAAACAAAAAAACGGCAATAATAAAGAAACAACAATTCGCGGTTGAAGGGAGCCAAATACTAAGCTAAGAAGAATCCCACCACCGACGGACGCCTCTTCAAAAGCATGGATAACAAAAGCGACCCCCACCCCCAAGACATTTACTTTTAGATTCTCGCTTCCATTAGGAACCATACCGCCCCATCACCACACGCCAACAGGTGGCAGATAAAAAAAAGGAAGCGGCACCCTCACAAATTGCCCGAGAAGGCGCACCACCAGACCCGTGTAGAACCTACGGGCACCAAGATCTTTCCCGCAGATACAGAAATGCCTTCGCAGCATCCGACGCCAGCGCGCAACCACGGTCTTGAAAAGGCAGTCGTTATGGGGCGGCGGCCCCTTGCCTTTTTTACAAAGTCCACTGTGCCAATGCACAGCACCACACCTCTGTTTACTATCTAATTTTATTCTCCTTGCGTGGCTAAACGGGCCCAGATCATTTACCCCCCACACCGCGACTCTGCCACCACCACCACTAACACCACGACGGCTTGCGATGGCGACGGTGCGGCGCCGTGCGGTGTGGGCCCTGGCGGTGCTTGCGCTGCTGTGCGGCTGCTGCTCCTCCGTGTGGGGGGCGGCGCCGGAGGTTGGGAGTACTCATCCAACGCATAACTCTCAACCTGTTGTGCTGCAGCACGAATGGATGCCGGTGATTGTGCCGGTGGAAGTGTCGCGTGCGGATGAAAGTAATGTGTTGCATTGGCGTTTTCCTGACAACGAGACTTGGGAGGGTTGCACAACTGCGGTGGAAGACTTTGGCTACACTGTTGTTGGGGATACCGGCGAAGCGCAGAGTTATTCTGCCACTGACCACGTTGTTGTGGTGGATGTGTCTCAGTATGGGGGCGATGCTGGTGTTGGTGAGTCCATCTGCCTCTCGGCCGCGTCGCTGTACC